TTTCAGAGACACACATATTTTCTTTCTGTTTACATTTGTTGTCATTGGGAACTACGTTCCTCTCATTTCTCAACTACTAGTAGTAATAAAATAACATAGCTGGGGGCAGACTGCCAATTAAATAGGATTGTAACAGTCCATATTAGAAAATGTTAGGGCTGTTACAATGATGATCAAAAATGAAAGAAATATTGTAATAAAAAGTAGTAAAAATACCCAAAACATAATTGTTCATAATCAATGGCAATAACATTACACCAAGACAGGTTATGGGCAAAGGGTAAGGAGCTGAATTGAAATTATGTCTAGTGGAGATTTCTTCAAACAGCAGAATTTTTGAAATTTTTTACCACTGCTGATTCTCTCTATCAAGTCATCCTCAGAAAAGTACATCCTTTGGGCAGTCTGGCAGCAATCCCTTACACTGAGGAGAAGCTTGCCTTAAGACATATAAAATCTTTAACATTTAACCTTGCCTTTCTAGCTCTGAGAATGAAATTTCACATATCTCTAATGAAAAATATGACTGCATACTTAATAATATTTGAAAAGTTTAACATTTTTTCCAATTTCATCACAGCAGAGGGAAATGGAAAACTTGAAAAGATACTTTAAAACATTAAGCTTCCCCTTAATACACTGCACAGACATATGACACAGAGGTGAAATTGAACTAGCTACTTCTTCCTTCAGCAGTTGGCCCTGGTAATTTCAAAATGATTTGTCAGTTCCCCATCATGCATAATACATTTTTTACTTGCCTCACCTCTCCCTCTTCTCCCTCCCCTTTAGAATTCATAAGCCACCCAGTAAGATAGTAGGGACACTTATATGCATTTTATTATCTATATTTATATTAAAAGACCCTTCCATGCTGAACTAACAACTTAAAAACAAACAAGCAAACAAAAACAGAACTTAAATGAGCTTTGTTGAATGTAAGCATGTGTACAATAATGGAGAAAGATGCTGTTATGACATGTACATGTATTTGTTTGGATCTGACAGCTGGTTTAGATTCCATCTGCTACCCTTTAGGGATGTCACCTGAGAGTGATTTTACTGATACATCATGATGGTCAGTTGCTGCCATTTATCCAATACTTATGGTTCAGCAAATAGAAGCAGAACTTGAACAACAACAACAAAAAAAGCATTTTGCTACTACAGGGGGCTGCAGAACACTGGGCTCCTAACATGCCTGGTTCTATAAAGTAAGAAGTTCCTAAAGAATTTCTAATGTGAGAAGAGTATTTGATTCAAGTTTCAAAGACAAATATGATACTCTGTTTCAGCACTACAGTGATAAATTAAATTACTTTGGGCTCAAAACTATTAACTATAGTCTTTTAAGAATCTCCTCTGTCATTCTTGTTAGAAATAACTTCCTAAGAACGTGGATCAGTGCTTTATATTGCAGCATCAATACCTATTTTGTGACTCTTTACTACACTAAGTAGTTAGACATTTCTCAAATACAGTCCCTGCAGCATTTAGGAGTGTTTTTTTTGGGAGTGTAACAATTATAATTTAACTGTAATGTTTAAACTTCACAGTCTTATTCTTGCTAACTTAACGGTCTCCTCCCATCCTACAAAACAAAACAAAACAAACAACAATGAAAACTGAGAAACTGACAATTTAAACAGACTTGATGACAGTGACAGGTCTGTTAGAGCACAGCCTATTAGGAAAAGTCAGGCTTAGATTGGTTTCCCCTACCTACATACACAGCTCTGTTCCAGTAGAGGTTACCCATGATCTATAGATTGCACCACAACCTTAGAAAGATAACACATCAAGAGACCTGAAAAGATTTTCTTTCTTACTTTGCATAAGTAACTAACAGGAGGTAGTGAGTATGTTAGAAATCTATATAATGGAAATAGAAATCAAAACAATTACTCCTCCAACTTTACAAAGGTAAAGGGTAATAAATAAATAAATAAATAAAATTTAAGAGGATGAATAATGGTTATACACCTATTCTGATCCTTAGTTACTTGCTTATGATGAAATTTCCCTGCATGTCTTCCACAGATAATTATCCACTATTTTTTTACAATAATAAACATGATTAAAGCAAGACGTTTTTAAAATTAGATGTTTTAATATGTATATATAATTGTAGATCTAGTTGTACATAAGAGATAAATTAAAGCAGATTAAGCAATACTTCTTTTCATACGCTAAATATTTTATAGGTTATCACATTGGATGAGTTTTAATAAAAACATAATGTGCTATGCCTAAAAAATGTAAATTGTAATTGCACAACTTTAATATTAGAATTTTCAGATTTCAGTATAATGAGAAAACTCATGATGTAAGAGAACAGAGTAAGATAACTATGTACAATTTAATAATTCTTTTGACATTCAGCCATTCAAACAGGAAATTACCATCCTATACAAAGTACAAAATGAATTCAAAAGAGGGGAAAAAGTGAAGAAGTTGTCTACTTTTATCTTTCCCAATCTCCTCAGTCATCCCCCTCATGATTACCTCACTTGGCATTGTCAAAGGAAGGTCAACCACCTTCCATTACTCAATGTTGTTAAAGAGAATCTGAAAAAATCCCAAGTTTCCTTTTCAAAAGCAGGATTTGCAAACATCAGAAGAATCTGTGCCTTAGCTTCTGGAGCAGAAGGAGAGATGCTGATGCTATCAACAATTTTATACTAATGGAAAAAGGACATGTGCTCATCATGGATAGAACAGAGAGATCCTGCGAAAGAGACAAATACAATCAAAGCATCACATTTTCCTTTTAGGATCCTTCCTGTAAGACTTCAGTGTGGTTGGCCTTAAACACTCAAAAGTTGTATCAAATTAGACTCTGAAACTGTTTACCAAGATCACATAATAGTGAATTGGGTCTTCAAATTTCTGATGCTCAGAAGCACTGGACAATGGAGAAAAATTGGATGGTTTCCTTTTTGTTTAGTTTCATTGTTGAAAGCACAGTAGACACCTGCAGACATTTTAAAGATGTTCTTACTTCAAACAACAAATACTGTTGAGAATAGTTAACAATGCTGTGAAATTTTTAGAGATAGAAAATGACTGTGTTGTTTGCTTTAAATATTTTGTTTTGACTTTAATATATATATATTTATTAGTTCATAAGGTTCCAAATTTATTTTAACCTAACCAGGACAAGGAGTTGTGTATGGCCAGATCTTGAGTTAGAGTCAAGAACTTTCAGACTGAAAGCAGGAATCCCAGTCCCTCTTTTCATCTGAAGACACTCTAGAAACTGGCTGTTATGACAAATGAGTTGCAGCAGCTTCCCTTTCTCTGGCTCTGTTAGTGAATGAAAGTTGTGGTGGGTGCTGCTGCTGAACTCAGTCACCTTGGCTGATTCTGCTCTGAAATTACATGGGGCTCTTCACGGGACTCACTTATACAGAAAGAGATTTAGTTTGGAAAAATGATGTGGAAAAGAGAGGAGAGGGAGAGGAGAGGAGAGGGAGGAGAGGAGAGGAGAGGAGGTGAGGAAGGAGAGGAGAGTATAGGATAGGGAGGAGGAGTGAGGAGAGGCGAGGAGGATGGATGCGAGGAGACCTGCGGTAGAGATTCATGAGAGCGAAGGAGGGGCAGAGGAGAGGAGAGGAGAGGAAGGAGAGAGAGAGGGAGAGGTCTCGATTCGAGATTACGGGTGAGAGAGCCTTTTGCAGGCTTCGTCTTATTTCTCATTCTCTTTAGAGTCGAGGCTGAGGAGAGGCGAGGTTTCACTCGCCTGAAACTGTCTACAGAGGAAATTTTCAGAGACTGAAAAGGAATTCAGTGGAAGGAGGGCAAACTTGCACCACAAGCAAAATAGATAAAAAAAAAATATAAAAAGCAATGCTTTACAAAAATGCAAGGACTCTGCCAGTTCCTTGGATAGTTCGTGTTTGCAGGAGTGGATTAAAAGTTATATTAAATGAGAGATTATGCTGGCCAGTAACAATGTTTCCTCATGGATCTAATAATATCCCTTCTAATCAAACTGCTCTATGTATATATCTTTAGAGTGTATTCCATATATAAATCTTTTTTTCATTTCTGTTTTAAAGTTAAAAGAAAAAAACAACTCTTTAGACAAGTAGTGGAAAGCATTACATTTTATGTGATTTTTTTTTTCTAACCTTAAAAGAATATGAAAGGAAATTAAAAAGAAAAGTTTTATCTCTCCAGTCCCTATTGGTGGTTTAAAACACACAGCATTTTCACTGTTTCAGTTTGACAGTGTAACGTATAAAATGTTTGCTGATTAAAGTAAAACCCAACTATTTCACAGTTTATCTCATGTGTATAAGACTTACCTTTTCCTAACCCATCTCTTTCCCTGACGGTTACTGTCTTCTCCGCAAGGATATAAAACTGTAAGTTAGTTGCTTCATTAATAACACCTGTGATTTTCGCCATCTGAAAACAAATATGTTGGGTTTATGAGAAGGCCTTACTAGCTTTCAGGTCCTTATTTTTAGAAGGGCATTTAATGCTAGACAAAGGTGGAGGACTGCCACCACTGGAAACTCTTGATAGTATTTATTAAAGGAAATGACAAAGGATGACTGTGATAGTATAAGCTTCCATGTATCACCCTCTCACCCTCCCAATAAAATTCGATTCTGACTTATTTTTTTCTCCATTTTTCAGGTATCATTTTGCATTTTTTTTTTAATAGTAGAATATGAAGCTCCAGCTTCTCAAAAGCCAGCTAGTTTCCTTTTTCTTCATTTCCTTTTTTTTTTTTTTCTTCATCAGCTCAAAAGCACTTGAGAACAAACAAAAACCTCTATGAATTACAAGGAGTCTCCAGAAAAAAAAAAAAAAAAAAAAAAAAAAAGAAATGGGGATATTTATTCAATGTTATTCATATTTATTCGATTGTTAGAATTCCATGTTTACATGTCCATGAACCAATGTAATTTTTGACAATACAGATTACTGGTTTACAGATAAATCACAATACAAGAGGAAAATGTTATTAGCTTCATAATTTTTCTTTATTGACTGCAAAATTATTGTAAGGAATTGGAACTTTTGATCTTATATGATAAACAATCCTTGTCACATAATTTCATTTGTGCAGCTGTCAAAAACATCAAAGAGCTTTATAGGAAGCATCCTGTCTGGGAGCTGTAGTTACACCACACTAATCTAAAGATACATAAATAAGATAGTGTTTTTACATTTATCTTTAGGATATCCTCTTCCTCTTTTTCATCCGCCCTTTAACATTTTATTCTTCTATCTCTACACTTTTAGTTTTCTATTTCCATGCATTAAATATAGTTTCTGTAGAGATAAAAGTTCATCGCTCGATACAAATGTAGAATGTTGCGATAATGCAAGTAGGATTTGAAAGGAGCTAATGCCATGCTTTCAAAGTTCAAGCAATTGTCTTGCTCAACCCAATTACACCAACACTGACATAAGTGCCAGAGCAACTAGCTATACTTCAGGGAGAAATCATATTTCAGGCTTATATCCTCCACCTCAGGTTTGTTTGTGAAATTAACAGCACAATAAATAAATAAATATATGAATACATAAAAAGAAGGCTTTCTATTTGCTGCTAGGTAACGTTAACATTAAAGTTAATAATTTCTTTAAAGGGAAAATAAATGCATTCAGTCAAACAAATTGCTCCAGTTAAAGTGGATATGCCTCAAGAAGTTGAAATGGATGTATAGAGTAGAAAGACTACATCTTTTTTTAAAAACTTTTTAAAAACTCTTCCTGCCAACAGGTGAATAATACTTACATTAAACTTACATTAAAGTGTGTTGCTTAGTTTTGATATGAGAAAGCATAAAGATGTGTTGATTTATCAGTGAACAGAGCTACTCTTGAAATGGTTTCATCTTTTCCGTTGGATGTTTGAAAGGGTAATCTTGATAACAAATTATTTTATGTACAGATTGTCTTATACCTAGCTTAGTCTATGGCCAACAGGACTGTGAGGTGTAGGAGAATTGACTCTGATGCTTTCACTATAGTGATAGCACTCAGGAGACTGAGAAACTCTAACAAACGTTGTCACCTTCTTAACCAGTGAAAAGGTAATAGGCAAGGTAAGGATTTCTCTAGGGTGTACAGTTGCCACATTTTTGGTCAAACAATGAGATTTCTAGCCCACTGTAATGTCAGTTTGTATTGCAGCTATATCATCGTCCTGACAGGATTTGCAAAAACAAGATTTACAAGAAGGGGGTTGCTTTGTTTTGTTTTCTGTGTGATAACAATGTCTTGCCTACTGAATATGATAGCTCCCGTCTAAAGAAATATTCTTATTAGTTTACTGGAACTCTTGTGTTTGCAGTTTGAGACTGCCGAACACCCCGAATGTAGTTTCACTTCAAGCCAGTTTATAAACTAGAACATGTATAATAATGTGTCTTTGTTATTGAATTGATTTCTCAGTGAGAATAGAAAACATGATATTTTGTTCTTTGTACTAGCTGCATTTAAATTTCAGTGTGGATTTTAAATGGATTTTTTTTGATATTGATCTATAAAGACCAAAATAATTTTGTTTCTGCCTTCTATGGTACAGCAGCAGACAGTGAAATACACAGTAGTAAAAATTTCCTCAATTTAACACAGAAAATAATATTTCCAGGCCAAAGGGGCAACTTTAGTGTGGTTCTCCATTTTCAACATAGAAGAGAGCAAAGGGAATGGGGATGGAGAGAAAGAGAGTTAAAGATGTAGATAGAGGCAAAGAAGAGTGTTTTGACTCTATAATAGCATTATTCATATTGCACTCTGTGGAGTTTTCTGAAATGTAGAATTTCACATCAATAAGCTGAGGAAGAACTGCAGCTCTCAATTTCTTATGCAAGTGCCAGATAATGTCAGAAAAAATTGTGTTCGTTACAGCATTGTTGAGATGGGCTGAGAGCTGACCACATGCATTAAGAATACTCTGAGCATGCGTGAAGGATTGATCTAAAGCTATAGATGAAATCTCAGAGTAGCATACATTATTAGGAAATTGTGCAGTTATCACTTTTAGGTGTGTCCACGATCATAACACTGAACTACTGTGTTTGTTCTGGTAGAAATATTTTGATGCATCAGGTAATGATGCAGACTGATAGAATTTAGTGTCACTATCCTGCTTGGGTTGTTTGTTGAGCATTTAACTCCTATTTGTATTTCTCTGAACGAGGTTCAAGAAAAGAACTCCCAGAAAGGGTAAGTCATTTTAATATACTGTAGACTCCCTGCTGCTGGTCAACAGAAAGATCCCACAGAATCCACTGGATAACCACACTGCATTTCCTTTGATGGTGGTGTCAGCTGTCAGCAAAAAGAGACTTAAGATCATTCCACTCCTACTGAGAGAATATGGAAAAATCTTCCAGAATTCAGAAGCACACTTCATTGCGCAATTAAAAGCAGCTCTGCATGTGGACATACCCAGAAGATCAAGAAACTGTTAGCAGGTTCTATATTTCTCTGCATGGAAAATCTCAAATTCCTGATCAAGCAAGAAGAAAAGATGCCACCCATTAATGTTTATTAAAGTGTTTTCTTAATCACACATGCTTTTAAGTCCAATAAAGCTATTTTCCCCCAATGATTGTATTTAAACTGCAATTAAATTTTGTATTTATTAGTAACACAAAATACTGGGGTCTGAAATTAGCTGACTTCATAAACAACTTGCTCTAAATTCAACCTGCAAGCTGCAGATCCACTACTGATATATACTGCTGGCAGTTTCATCCATACCAACTTACGGATAGGAACAGTGAAAAAATTTCGTCTCCAGATTTCAAATGATTAACAGCACATTTAATTCATATTGGTTACTAAAGAGATTTATACACATGGTAAATATTCTGCTAGTATTGAAATTTCCTCTCTTGGCTGTAAAAATTAGTAATAGTTAAATAATTAAACTAAGGTAGGAGTTTTGGTCAAAAGAAATAATGTACTCTTTCCACATTTCACCTGTCATATCCGTCCAGTTTCTCTATTTGTGAATGAGGGTACAATTGAAGTATTTGCTTTTCATTGTGAATTTCATTTTTGCTCCTGTTTTGTTCTGCCTACAAGTAGAAAAGATTCTGCAATGCCTTTAACTTCCTACTAGGCTAAGCAATGCACTACTATGGAGACACCCAGCAGGAGTTTACAGAGTCTGCATTACCTGGGCAACCTGAAGAAGAAGAACATCTTAAATTTTTCGGGTCAGTAGATATAAAGCAGCTTTTGATGTTCTCTCAGTCTGTGCTAGTGACAGCCCTCTTCCATCTTGTGTATCTGATTAGAAAACAGAGAGAAACCTCGAGGTCATATGCACTAGTCCCCATATAGGATCCTCCCATGTCGTTCTTGACACTCATCTTTCTCTAAGGTCTCCAGCCTCCCTAGAGAATCTATTCCAGAGCTCTGCTACTCTTACCATTAGCAAACTTTCTACAATGTTTACCTGCTTTCTTGGACTCTAGATTTATGCTGAATAAATCTAAAGAATAAACTGGATGCAAATTATCTTACTTGTTTAATATGTGCTAAGGAGGTCTGCTTCAAGCAGTTTTATGTTGTCAAGTAGCTATTTTTGGGTAGTCATGAACTACAAGGCACTGTTTTATTTCACACTGCTGTATTCACCTGCATTTTTATAGACACTCATAAAATGCCTGATTGCTTTTCAGGGTTAAATACCTCCAAATAAGGACCAGTGAAGAGATATTACTCTGAGATTGTTTGTATCTTCCTTCATGTCTTGTTATCTATTTTCATGGCTTCAGTAGAAATTTGCACAGAATTTATTTTCTCATCTCTTGGTGATACCATTATAAATTTCAAAACAGATCATGTATTTGTACTTCATTTAAAAATTACTTAACTGTGCTGTTCCTCCAGGCTGCAGCCACAGAGCAGTGAGACATCTGCACAGTCACTCTCTCAATTTTTCCGCTTATCATAGTGAAAACAACTCTGCTAACAGAGAAGCTACAGCCTACTAGGTAAATCTATCCATCTTTTTCTTCCAGTCCTGTAGATAGACAATAATCAGCTGGAATCTAGGCCTTGTAAATATGTATCATCTCTATTATAGTCCTAAAACTAATCCTCATTTCAGCGGTTAATTAAAATATAATTTTAGATAAACTCAAGTTTCCAAATTGCTTGAAATTATAGTTGAAGCTGGTAATAAGAAACCACAGAGGAGTGAAAGAAGTCTAAAAGTAAGCATGCTTATGTGTTGGTATTGTTCTGATATTTTAATTGAGTTGATTCTTATTTTCATCACTGTGCGTAGGTCCTGAAGAAGACCTACATGTCAGTCACCATATCCTTAGGTTGTGTGCTTCTTTTTAGAGAAAAGGTTACAAGGTCATTGTACAGTTATTAACTTATCTTAAGTTTCAAACTTTATCTATGTCATGTATAGGAAGAAAATAATACATTTAAAATTAATCTCTCTCGAGTTTTAGAGAGTAAAAACCACTTTTATGCAGTGACATTTCAATATTTCCTATCGTATGCCATGACATAATATTTCTAGATTTGATCTTTTTAAAGATCTTAATTATTTCAAAACCTTTGACGTGTTTTCTTGGTCACAAGTTTAATTCACATAGCAACTGAGCAATAAGCACAAAAATCTTCTGATTTTTCTTCATGAAAGTGTTTATGTCACATACACATCATTCCTATGAGACACAGTTTCTTTTCAAAAAATTATTACTGAATAGCAATAGATTCAAGCTTATTGTTATATATTAGCATAAATATTTTGGTTAGCTGAAACTCAAAGCTCTGGCAGGACTTCATTTCATGAAGAATTTTGTCTATCATTTGAAAGAGATGAATACTTTTTTTGCATTGTATAACACTAATACATAAACTTAAGGCAATTAATAATTAATGGATTAGTTAGTTACAACTGTAGGCAAGCCTTTTTGTTTGCTGAACTCTCACTTAGCCAATAAACTAATGCTTATTTACCTCACAAAGTTCTACTTTGTAGTATAATGCAACATTATTGCAATTACGTATGATTGTGGAGTCTCCTTCTCTACAGATATTCAAAACCCACCTGGATGCTATCCTGCGCAATGTGCTCTAGGTGATCCTGCTGAGCTGGACTAGAGGGTCTTTAGGGGTCTCTTCCAACCTCATCCATTCTGTGATTCTGTGATTAAAACCAGGTTAAACTTTAGCTGAGTACAAGTCATTAGAACAAGATACTGAGATAAACACTGTGTTAAAATATAGAGTAACTCTATCACTATCAAATTAAATACATTAATTTTCTGGAAAACAAAATAAAATGAAACAGAATCCTCTGATACTGGATAACTGCTCAAATGTATGTGTGAATCCTGGACCAGCTGCATTAATTTCCTTATGCTTGCCTTTGATCAGTTTTCTCTGAATCACTTATTGCTTATTCAAATCAGTATCTTAAGGGCTTTTATCACTGTTGTTCAAAATGTTATAGCTAAAAATATTATATGGGGAGTTACTTCCTAGAAGCAGGAAATTCAAAGAATTTTACATTTCTTTTATTTCTCTCTTCAACCCGATTAGTATCAGATATGATTTATAAGAATAATATCCAATTTAGCTGTTATTTTTACACTTACTATTTAATCAATAATATTAATTTATATTAATATAATTAACATTATATTGATATTTATCATTATCATTACAATTATCACTATAGTAATATTACTAATTATATTATTCATATACTTATATATGAAATATATAAATATATATTGTATAATGTCATATAACATGTTAATATATTTATGTTATATTAAATTAATTATAATTATAATTATATAATTATATATATAATTACATATTTTATAATATATATTATATATATTATCTATATTATATAATTATATAATTATATAATTTTTAAATTATATTAAAATTTTTATTGGTGATTACATTCATATGTTAATCTGTTGATAAAAAAATGAGGCAAAGAATGGCATAAGTTTAATGATACATTCTCTTTACAAATTTTTTAAAATTATTTATCTATTATCTATTATCTATCTATTCCCTCTTTTTTAGGGAATAAGAGTTATTTTTTATCTTCTTGTTGATATTATTTCCTTTGTGTGATTAGTTAGCTATTTGGTGTCTCTAGAACACAATTTTTTCTCTATTTTAATTTTAGTTAATCCATTGATAACAACAGTAAATAATGTGTCCACAAATGTAAGATTAAATAGTCTACATTTTTTTTTATTTTATTTATTTATTTTCCTGAGACATACATTTGAGTGAATGTGGATTAGGGGGATGGAATTCTTTAAGAAATAGTTGAAAATAATAAAATGATTAGAGTATACAATTAGTGTTTTAAGATCAGCTTAGCAAACATTTCTAAAAGTTGTCGAGGAGACAAAATATATTATGCCTACTGGAAAGTTAGAGGTTTTTGTTCTGGTCTTAGTGCTATTAATGAGAATGGAATATATTTGTACCACCTTAGAAGGCAGTGATTCTGCAAAGACATGCAACATTTCAAGTAGACAAACATAGTGGCCTCCCAGCAGGACGCTGTGTATCCTTGTATTTGTAAACAAGACAGAGAAGCAGAAGAGTAGAAATTTGATTTTAACTCTGTAGAAAAATGGTTTTAAGGTGTCTATATAGAATCATATATATCTTATCCCAGGACTGGAGGAAATGTCTTCTATCACAAGCCTTGAACGCCTTTTTTTTATTTTATTTGAAAATAATTATCAGGATGTTATCCCATATAACAACTTACATGTAAAAAGGGCGGGAGGGGGGAGCGGGTGGCAAAAGAATTGATATAATAAAGGACATGTAAGGTGAAGACACAGCCTTTCACAGTGAGAATCATTAGTCATTTCAGAAGCTATTGAGTTTGTAGATGCCTCTCAATGTCTTCAAATCAAAACTAGATATTTCCATGGAAGTTATCTCTGTAGTCAAACGCAGACATTCAAATCTGTGGGCAGTGCAGTGCGATAAAATCAAGCTTTAGTAAAACACAGGGGTAACTGTGCATGATGAAATTTAATAGTTTATACAAGGAGCTATGAGGAGGTTAGCTGACCTAATAGGCTTCTGTGAATTCCAAAGGTAAGTGTTAGGGTTGCTACATTGCTTTCTTTGCCACATTATGGTTCTTGGCAGCTAATGTTCATATATGTTGGATTGCATGATTTCTTTTCTGAAAAAAAAAAAATAGAAAAAAAAAGAAGAAATTATGTTTGTTTTTATTTTTTATTTATTTCTGAAACACTCTTGTGGTATGTTTTATTTGTCTAATTGAACCAAAGCTAGATAGAGCTTCATCCTTCTGGTGCTGAAGGCATAAATAGGTCTTTCAGCAAGAACATCAAAGAGAGGTATCTGTTGACAACTTTGCTGTATTATATTGTCACTGTTGCTACCAATGATTTATTTCTGTTTTTGTCAGCTTTGAGTAAATTCACCACAGAAAACCAATCCTCCTCCTAGTTGTCTGAAGAAAATACTCAGAATGTAAAAACAGTCATAGCAGAGTTCAACTTGAAACTACAATATTATAAGCTAATCTGTTGCAATGTCCAGGATGTGTGATGGCAGAAAGGGAAATAGTTACAGTGAGTAAAACCACAGGAACCTCCCCTTAGAAACAGGGTTAAAAACATGTTTTTAGGAGAACTTTAATTTATTTTTCAGCTAGTTGCTGATAGCTGTGGTTTTAGCAGTCTCAGTTGACCTTTTAAAACTTTTCATTGGCAATTCCAAGAAAACGATGCCGATTGGTATATTAATTACAATATCTTACTTTGTTCACTTTTCAGGTAAGTAGTTTTTTGCAGTTTTTTGTTGTTGTTGTTGTTTGTTTGTTTGTTTGTTTTTTAACCTCAAAATTCTTAAAAACCTAACTTTTGAGAAAATCAGTGTCAATTTTTAATCAAGGATGAAAGTGTCAAAAAAAATTAAATCTGATTGACACATAATAATAAAAAGAAAGAAGAGCGGGTTCACTTTTGCATATTAGAAATCTGTACTGATATTTTAATATTTAGGTCAGTAACTTTATTTCAGGACTTTAGCATAAGTGAATCTTGAAGTACTTTTAAAACTATTCATTTATACTAACAAATTTAAAAGGAAAGAAATATAAATCGTATTTGGAGCTTTTTTTTTCTTTTTTTTTTTTTTTTAATTGTATAGTATGATGAAAATGCAAAAGATATTTCAGATATGACACATCCTTTTCTTTACACAAAGTTGCTTTCCTTCATTGAATATACTGAAATTGGTTTTACATGGGTTTTGAAATATTGCTATCAATGTGATATATTGATTTTTTTTAAAGAAAGTTGTTTTTCAAGTAAATGAAGGATATAGCCCAGAAACTTCCTTCACTCCTCTGGGTTTATGTCCTTTTTAAAATCTATTCCATGTTATATTTCAGCAAACCAAACCTCTTTCAAGTACAGAACAGTCATTTCTGAGCATACATTTCTTAGTATGTATGCTCAGATGACAAGAAGTCTAAAAAGAATAATATAAAAAATTAGAGGTAACCAACTATTTTGAAGCATCATATTAATTTGTTCTAATATTTTTAAAAGCATGTGTTGTCTGTGCTTAGTAATGATTTTCCTTTTTTTTTATACTTAGTATAAAAATGCATAAGTAACACTTACGTAAGACAAATGTTTAATTTCAAAGCAATTCAGTAAATACAGTTAATGGTGGAAGTCTAGTTGCAGTTCCTCAGATGGAAAAGATTCATTTCACAGAATTCTGAATGTCTCTTTCATGAATTTATTACTCTACATGAGAAATAGATGTTCTTATAGTAAAGTAAGTAAATAAATAAATCATTCAATCTGTTTAAACCTTTATTGTGGCATTAAATCAATCTTGCCTTTAAATTATTATTTCAGTTTATTGACTAAAAAGGGAGAGTAAGGTTAAGTGTTGTTTTCAATGTGGTTATTTAAAGTTTAAATAACTGACTTGAAAGCAGATTAATCTTGTGTGAATTATTAGTTACAATCTCAAAACACTTAAGATGAGACACAAATGTAGATAAAGCTTAGTCATATTCACTAGAAATAGTGAGATGTCACTGCTAGCTGATCTGAGATGGGTGTCAAATAGGGATTTTTTTGTTATTCAGAAAAAAAATATCTCAGAGTTCATCATTATGGGTCCAGAGGAGGACCATGAAGGTTATCAGAGATCTGGAGCACCTCTCCTATGAAGAAAGGCTGAGAACACTGGGGTTGTTCAGCCTGGAGAAGGGAAGGCTCTGGGAAGAATTTACTGCAGAGTTTCAAGACATAAAGGGGGTTTATAAGAAAGGTGGAGAAAGGCTTTTAACCTGGTAAAGGTAGACTTGAAGGTAGATTTAAAGAAGTTACATTTATAGTGAGCATAAAAAAGAAATTTTTCACGATAAGAGTGGTAGAACACCAGAACAGATTGCTGAGAGAAGCTTTGAATGCTCCCATCCCTGGAGTTGTTTAAGGCCAGTTGGGTGGGGCTTTGGGCAACCTAGTCTAGTGGGTGGTATCCCTGCCCATGGCAGAGGGGCTGGAACAAGATGGGTTATAGAGGTACCTTATGATTTAGAGGTACCTGCATGGTTCTACAACTACGTGTCTTGGAAAAGCCTCTTCACTTATTTCCAAACTAGTAAAGACTTATTTGCTTATTTGCTTATTGACTAAGTATTAACATTCTGGAATTCTTTACATTTAATGAAAGATTGTTCTCTTGTGGTGTATCTTCTTGTTTATTGCAATCTTATTTTAATTAACAGTTTTTATTATTATTATTATTTTAGTTCAAGGCACAGCAACAGATTTATTTCAGGCATATTCCCAGTCTTTATCTCATTGTTGCCTGCACATATGCAAAAAAAAACCATCTCATGTTATCCATCTATGGTTTCACCATCCTTCTGTATTAACTCTGTAGATAGTTTACGTGCACACAGTATCTGTATAAATCTTTACTGCATATAGACTTAAAGAATTAAAAAGAAAAATGTTAGGAATTATCAACATTTTTTTTTTTCATAAAAATATGAAAAAATATAGAAATTGAAGACTTGTATTAACATAGAAAAAAGATGTTGACCTTGCATAGAAAATATCAGAAAGTGAGTAAACTTAAATAATCCTTATATTTAAAGCAAGAATAGAATTTCATTTTTGCTCAAGTTTTTGTTACTCTTTTTTTTTTCCCCTCCTTTTAGATATATTGTATTTCCTTGCTTTCCAGGATTCCTCCACAAATTGCATGTCAATATTTAAATAATGATGTATTGGACTAATAGGATAATATTAACAGAACATTAACATTGCTTTTAATAAAGGTGATTATTAATTAATTGATAATTACAGCTAGCAGTAGGCCAGAGCTCTCAGTTGTGCAATATCCTGAAGATGCCAGTGTGCTCACTAACTCCACAACCTGGATGCTGTGTGTCTTTGAATACCACAATGACAAGAACGAGGAGCCAGTTGTGTACTGGAGAAAAGGCCCCAGTTGCAACAACCAGCAGAGTCTTCGGTCAAGCTCAGGCACCAGCAGACCACAAATACACATTACAAAGGATGTGTTCAGGGGATACTCCATCTTAAAACTCAGCAATGTTGACCAAAATGCCAGCAACTTTTATTTCTGTGATGTGACGCTAACCCAGAAAGCTCAGAACAAATGTGGAAATGGCACCAAGCTGACAGTACAAGGTAAGAAGTGTCTAATACACAGAAATTGACTTGATATATCCAAGGAGAATTAAGTCTTCCACAAATTTTACTGCCTTCTCTCCCACCACTCACTGCTACCAGAAGAAGGTTGGGGAAAAAACAGTCTACAGTCATGAGTAGGAGAGAGAAGGTATGAACAGTTTATATAGCCAGACTTCTCAGGGACAGGGACTTTTCTTTGCATCTGACATTGGGCAGCAGAACATTGACTCAACGTTTAATATATTTTATACATTTTCGATATTTTGCATATTATTGTATCATTTAAATTCATATTCTGCATTAATATATACATTACACATTTTAAATATTTTTTTTTCTTACTATTCTGCACACAGTTTTGCTGGATCTTTACTTTGCTTCATACAAACAACAGAAATCTGTGACAATATTTTGTACCATTTTTCATCATTTCCCTCAGTCCTTGTATGCTGTCTTTTTTGAAATATGTAGTTCATGCTTCCCCTTCCAGTCACTGAAAAATGAATAGTAAATTAAGCACTAAGGGTATTTTTAGAAAGGTTTGTGAAAGTAGGGATACGTAGGAGTGGGAGTTTCTTTCTGTGTAATTATAAAACCATTTTCATCACCTTATAACTCTTTCACTGTCCTCAAATTTTCTAATTTCTGTAATCCTGATGGGGACTGCGAACTCAGTGACTAAATTACACTATTGTAGCAGAGCCAAGTTTTGTGCATGAACACTTTCCAGGCAAATCTAACTAGCATATGCTATGTACTGCAAAGAATTTCTCTGTTTCTACATTTCACTTTATGCGTAACAATTGTCCAATGCAGTACTTTTAAGTCCTTAAAGAAAAACAGTTGTTGATGAAATTCTTTTGACTTACACACCATAATCATGTTTGGTTTAGTTTAAAAAGCAAACAAGCAAAAACAAACAAACAAACAAACAAAAAACACACGCACAAAAACAACGAAAACCACCATAGGCTTTTTCATCATTGCGTTAAGTGTGTGCTGTATAAAAGAGATGTTTATGCATATCCCACTTGGAGCACACTGAGAATTTTGTTTACTTTTAATTTTATAAATTGCTAACAACAGTTTCAAAAATTTCATCTGAAAAACAAAGAAGACAATAGTTCTCACATGAGAGGCTTAACCTTTTAGCCTGAAAAAAAAAAAAAAGAGCGAAAGAAAATGTGATAAAAATTAAGACAACTGTGCTGACTAATCCTCACTAATCCTTCAAATGAAATCATATCAGAAAAGCAACTATTTTCTCTTTTTCAGGTACTTATTTTTCGTTATCTTCATTTCAGATTTCAAATGTAAAGACTGTACAAGATCAGAAATGACATGGTGGTGGTGGTTCCTTCTTGGATATGCCATCTTTGTCACCACAGTTATCATGGCTTTTGGTGTAAGTAATAACTTCAAAAATAAATACTACAGACCTAAAGAAGGGTGGTATCTTCTGATGGAAAGAAATGATAAATAGATTGTGCAGCTATAGCAAAGTAAAAAGTCAGTCTGTTTTCTTTAAGTAAAAAGTTAGAGGTAGAACCCCCTGCCTTTGGATGTTTTGAGAGCATGACCATAAAAGAAACAGAAAGCTGTGGCAGTGGAGATGCATAGAGAAATTAGATCTGTTTTCTGAACTTGCTGACAACTGGGAAGCTGTTGTCTATGCTGGTGGTTGATCTAGAATTATTACTTTTACCTGGAAAGTAAACAGAATTATAAAACAAAACAAAATGATAATAATAATAATAATAATAAAACACAACACTTAATCAGCATTTTAAAACACATCCTGCTTCCTCCATATGTCTGGGCTCCAGCTCCTAATGAGCTCCACTGGGCATACATGAATGTCTGCTCATCTTTTGTTTTACTCATGTTTCAATCAGCCAATCAGTCATACCAGGATTTTATGTCCACTCTGACCCCCCCAGCTGATATGGGTCCCTGCCTGACATTTTCCTGGTCATCAGTGAAGCACACTGACATTTTGAAAACTTGAAAATACTTTAAAGAGAAGGAGAAAATATTTTTTTGATATATATTTTGAATATATTTTTTGATACAAAACTGTCTAAGATGAGAATGATTTCTTATGCTTCCTACATATTTTACAAATCCTTCCGTCTTTCCTAATCTTTGCTCTGTTCCCCTCCTTATAATCATTTTAATCAATCACTTCTTATGCATCAAAAAACTAAAAGGTAGATTTCAACTAATAGTTTTATTTTGATCATATTTGGAAATATCTTTTATGTGAAGGAAACTTTGCATAAGGAAATAAATCTGAGCTGAAGAAATCTGAGCTATGTCATAACTTGATGCAAATGAGCATTACACAATCTTTGAAGGCAGGGACAGTGCTACAATGTGCTCTATTTACAAGGTCCTTACTTGTAAATGTAGTTCAAAGATTATCATTTACGAGACATAAAAAGTTCCTTGTGCTTCATTGTGCAACAATCTCCCCTCTCAAAAAACTATATTGTACAGTCCCTTAGTAGTCAACAAATGCAGTTTAAATTGGATTAAGAGGGAACAGACAACAAACTTAGCAGACTTTCTCAGCTTGTGAAAGGGCTATTTAAGTATTAGTGAACCTAGCATTAATTACAGCAACAGCTCTTACTACTGCACAGTGGAGAATCTCATTATGAAAAGACTTGACACCAGTGACATAAGTTACAAGACCTACAAAGATACTTATGGTATCTGGTTGCACTTCTGGGTCAAATAAGGTTGGGGTTTTATTTTCTTTAGAAACCCAGTTGTTAAGTTCTGTTACCTCACAGACACATCAAAACTAGAAATGTTCACACAGTTCGGGCAGCTGGAGACAAAGGATGTGTGGTTAGACAGAGTGAACTCAAGCCAGAGAGAGAAGAGGTAAACAAGAACAACAAAAAAGAAAAAAGAAAAAAAAAAAAAAAGAGAGAAAAAGAGAAAAAGAAAACACAAACACCAAAAAAATTGCTGAGATACAATAGCACTTTGCACTACTGAGGTGACTCTTGCTCAGACAATGGCTTGGCATTGGTCTGCTGGAGGGAGCTGATGAGCGATTTCCTGATTTCGTTTGCTTCGCCTTTTTTTTTTTTTTTTTTTTCACCTATTAAACTGTCTTTATCTTGACCCTGGAGATTTTTCATTTTTTGTTCTTCCTGCCCTCTCCCCTCTTCTGCTGGGGACTGGGTTGTGAGCAAGCAGCTCTGTGGTTGCTTGGCTGCTGGCCAGGATCAACCCACTGCACCAGCTAAAGAGAAAGACACTGAGATTTACGAAGTCAGGGAGTTTATAACTTCTTATGGGTCTTTTTTTTTTTTTTTCCCACTAAATGACAAATGTTTTGTATCATGAAAATGTGTATCATGTCAAAATCAGAGCATACAATAATGAAAGAGGGACTGAATCACTCAAAGGCCCTTCAGCCCTTCTAGGCCACTGCTTAAATCTGGTATGTCATGGTTGGCTGAGCCCTTCACGTAGCTTCTGGAAGGAACTGCTATCTCAGGAAGAGGTATATAACTTACCTCTTCTTAGCCTAAAATTCTCTTAGCTTTTCCCTTACCTCTGTCAAACTTTTTCTGTGCTTCAAAGTCCAGAACAGGGCACCACAATGCACTTTTCCAATGAAACTTGCATGACAATTGTGTATACTTTATGGAGAAGCCATTACAGCTGTTTATTTTCCCCAAAAGATACCCATCTCATCCACCCTCAAAAACAAACAAACAAACAACTAATTTAAATTACATAAGAATAAAGAATAAATAAATTATTAAAATAATAGTTATCTCTCTCCCCCTACCTTATGCTCTATTTTTATAAAGTGGCAGCATACATGCACCTTAAGAGATAGTATTGGGAATTGGAGAAGTATTAAATGAAATCACTGATACATAGTTGGACACACTTTCTACCTACTTTTATGAATTACCCTTATTCTGCTAACTGTAAAGTTTTAGAATTCAGCATATAAAAAGCTAATCAATCAATTTAATAATGTTTAATATTAGTTCTTACTCTTATTTTAAACTAAAACATACCATAATTGTTTTACTGTATCATAATTGTCTACAGTTGACCATATACCACTTAGCTAAAACCATATGAAATACCAACATGTTAATTACTCAGGTATTAGCTAATATACCTAATTAATATTAGGTATATTATACCTAATATTAATTTCCTATACATAAATATAAATATATATACCTATACCTAATATAATACCTAATTAGCTAATAATATTAGGGTCTAACTAAAAATTATTAAGAATAATAATAAAAAATAGTATGTCAATTCATGAAGTTGTATTTAACATTAGTATTTCCATGTTTACTTGTGCTGTGAAAAGTATCATAACTTTACAAACAATTCGCAATAAATACTGGGTTGCTATCCCAGTAAAGTGAGGAATATGATCTCTAAAAAGATGAATATCTGATGGAAACACATTTTTCTTGCCTAACAATATATTTTGTGGAATATTGAAACAGATTTACCAGTGCTGTAAAAAGTTCAAGACTGAGTCAAGAAATACAGATAGCAGCGCTACCCTGAAAAGTGAATGGATTTATGACAAGCCATCCAGACCAGTTAATAATGGGTGTAACCAAGAATATGAAGATATGTCACTAGTAAGAACTTCAGTCACATTAAAAGGAAAATGATATGAAAAATAAACCATACAGTTGTAACTGTAAAGATGTAAGCATCTGTGATATGTACTACGTTGAAATGCAGAAGAAATATATACATAAGTCACTTCATTAGCTTGGAATCTTCCTTGTTCAAGATTTTTTTTCATTTGTTCATGTATTTATTTCAAACTAATGAAATAATTCAAAACTAATGACGGTCTATACATCTACAGATACAGTGAGCTTTACTGTACACAGCTAGCATCAAAATACTGTAAAAGTTAAAGATATTCAAACTTCTTTTTAATGCCAACAAGTCTGGCCACACATTCCGATATTTTTTTTCCATTTCAAACAAAAAGACACAAAAGTTGGAATTTTGCTTTTTCCTTGGGTTGATACAGTTTCTTTGCTTTACAACAGCAATGGCAAATTCTGTAATATAGTATCTGTCCACTGTAGTGATAGATTGTGATGAATTTAGAGTTTATCATAGAGAAATTTTTCAAGTGCTTTTTTGATCTTATTTCTAACTCCTTACACAACCCCATGTTTATAAATCCTGCAAATTCTTCCACACTTAGTTTTGTAGCCACCTATGCCACTCACATAGTGCACTTCGGGTACATGCATCTCCCAACAGAATGAAAATACTGAATGTATTTTTAAAAGTTTTAATTTCTGAAGAAAAATATAATCGCTTCTGTTGTAGGGCTTGTCTTTGCTGACCATGTGCAATACCTAAGATTATAAGATAAACTATTTGCATAAATAAGTGTCTTTTAAACTTGTTTGAATTAGAATACTTTGGAATTCATGTAAATAACAATAATAGAATTAAGCTACATAGAAAGAGCTTATTATAATTTGTGTATTAATTAGGTACTTGAGGAAGGAGTGCCATGGAATACTTATGTATGTGTTGACTTGAAATTAATATTTTGACAAATTACATAAATTGTTGAAAATAGATTTTATTTTTTCCCCTCAATCAAATATTGCAAGCTGAATATTGTGATTCATATTTGCTTACCACTGAAACTACACTGTGTGAAAGGAAAAGGTTTATAGAATAAAATGTCAGAGATTATGGCCTTACACATTAATTATGCAGTAATTATAAAAAGTGAGTAAACTCTTTTTACTCAAGGTGGGGGGGAGACCAATAAGTCGCAGTTGATACTCAAAACTGTATTTTAAGAAGTGGATACACATTGCTAACAAAGTTCAGCTTAAACTTCATCACTGGTGTTTTTTTCTAAAATATTTCCCTATTCAATCACCAAAGATACCAATTACAATCATTTTCATTTTCATTTAAGAAATTCATCTTACTATTTGAATCCTTTTGGTAAAGCTGTTTGATACACTTAGATAAACGTGACTTACAGAGGGACAGGCAGACTATGCTTGAGCATAGTCCAACCTTTAAACTAGTACTAAAGTCTACCACTAAATCATGGTAGACAGCAGGAACTAAATAAGTCTTCCCCACTCCTCTACCCAAACAGGCATAGATATATAAATTTCCAGATTCAGGAACACAAATTCTAATTGTGGATGTAAATATTTGTGTATATTTTCCAGAGGAATTAGCTCTTCAGAAGCACCTCAAATTTCATATTTTAAGAATCTTTAAAAATAAAATCCTTGCTGTACATAATACATGTCTAACGTTTCATTTTGAAGTTAAATTTTTAAATTAGGTTAAATATTAATGGTTTAAATACATGGCATGTTTATACATTCAACATGTAGCTTTAGAGAGAGAAAATGTCATTTCATCCTTTACAGTGCAAGGTGTTAAGTCCACCGGAGACGAAGATTCAGTTCTGTGAAGAGAACTGAAGGCAGGAGTCAGTGAACCAAAGTCACCTTCAAGTACAAGAAGCACAAAGAGGTCAATGCATTCAGTGAAATTTTCCGTCTCTGGCATTTTGGCAAAAATAACAAGAATTCATACCTAATCTAGCAGATATAACTAGAGGGCAGGTTTAAAAGGCATCCCATTCAGATAACTCATATACTTGAATGGAGCTGTTTTCTTTATATCTCATATCACTGGCTCCACTCTGGATCAATGGCCCTTCAAATGAAGGTCAATACAATTTTGGCACTTTTTCACATGCTTCTCAGAAACAGCCAAGGTATTTTCTACATAATGTTTCCAAAGAAGTTGTACATAAACTTCAAGTCAGAAAGGTTAAGTACTTTGAAAGTTCAGGGGGAATAAAAACAAATAATAGGTAGTATGTGCCACTAACACCAATAGCAATAGTAAAAAAAAAAATAAAAATTATGTTGCAGTCAGCAAGGTCATGGAACTTTTATGGCAGCTTAGAACAGAATGACACATCAGGACAGAATTCGAAATGAGTTTATAGTGCAAGCACTTATCAATATTAGACACATGAAATATTACTTCTTCCAATTTATGCTTTAAAAAGTCAATGTTGTGGTGTAAAGAATGTTAATATTTATATGTGTATTGGGTTTATGGGGCCAGGTTTCGGTGGGGGGGCTGCAGCCATGGCCTCTGTGAGCAGAGCCCAGCAGCTGCCCCAGGTCAGATCAGAGCCAGCTCCAGCCAGCTCCAAAAGGGACCTGATGCTGGCCAGAGCTGAGCTAGGGAGCAATGCTGGGTGGGCCTCTGGGAGAGCAGATTTAAGATGGGAAAAACTGCTGTGCAACAGCAGCTGGGAGAGAGGAGAGAGAACATTGAGAGAAGCAGCCTTGCAGTCCCCAAGGTCAGTGCAGCAGGAGAGCAGGAGGTGCTCCAGGCACAGAGCCGAAGTTCCCCTGCAGCCTGTGGAGAGGCCCCTGGTGGAGCAGGCTGTCCCCCTGCAGCCCATGGGTCCCACGTGGAGCAGATCTCCACGCTGCAGCCCGTGGAGGAGCCCACGTGGAGCAGGTGGATGTGGCCTGGAGGAGGTTGCGGCCCATGCAGGAGCAGGCCCCAGGCCAGAGCTGCAGCCTGTGGAGAGGAGCCCACGCAGGAGCAGGGGGCATGGGGGGATCTGCCGCCCATGGCGGACCTGTGCTGGAGCAGTTTGCTCCTGGGGGATGGACCCTGTGGGACGGAGCCCTGTGGGAGCAGTGCTTGAGGAGCTGCTGCCTGTAGGCAGCCCCTGCAGGCTTAGCTGGGGAAGGACAGCATCCTGTGGGAGGGACCCCACATGGAGCAGGGGCAGGGAGTGACCGTGAAAGAGCAGCGGAGATGAAGTGTCAGGGACTGACTGCAGCTCCCATTCCCCATGGGGAGGAGAACCTTTTTAGTTTGCTTTTAGTTTTTTCGCTGCTCCAGTCTACTAGTGATAGGCAATAAATTATATTAATCTCCCCTCTGATGAATCTGTTTTGCCAGTGACAATAACTGGTGAGTGATCTCACTTATTTCAACCCAAGACCTTTCCATCACATTTTCTCCCCCTTTCCCTTTGAGGAGGGGGAGCAGGGTAAAACCATCACAATATCAAACAAATTCTACAGTAAATCACAGAATCACAGAACCATTGGTTAGAGGGTACTTATGGAGCTCACGTAAGCCCAATCACCCTGCTCAAGCAGGGCCACCCACCACCTAAAGCAGGGTACCTAGGCCCACATCCAGACAGTTTTTGAATATCTCCAAGGAGGGGGACTCCACAACCTTTGTGGGCAACCGGTCCCAGTGCACTGCTACCCACACAGTGAAAAACTTTTTTCCTTATGTTCAAAGGGAAGCTCCCATGTTTTAGTTTGTGCCTATGGCCTCTTGTGCTGTCACTGGCCGCCACCGATCAGAGCCTGGCTCCATCTTTTACATGCCTTCCCATCAGCTATTTAAACACATGTATAAGATCCCCCTTAGCCTTCCCCTCACAAGGCTAAACAGATACAGGTCCCACAGTCTCTCCTCATATGTCAGACGTCCCAGACCCCAGTCTTTGTAACCCTGCAGTGCACTCTCTCCAGTAAGTCACTATCTTTCTCATCCAGTACTGGAGCCACTACTTCAGATGTGCTCTTACCAGTGCTGAATAGAGAGGAAGGACAGTTGGTAGCTTTTCTAGATTTTATTTTTAGTTTAACAAGGAAAGATGGAAAGTTACTACATTTTTTGTTTCCACACTGAAATTCCAGTTTTCTCAGTAGGTGTCATGTTTTATAACCCTAGCAAAATTAAAATGGAAGCCATGAAGTCCTACACAGCTGTCCAATTCACAAATACGGAAACCAATTTTCTTGGGGCTTGTCTTTCCCTAGTACATCACAACAGCACACGTTCTTTTCCATGTAATTACCTGAGTGATTAGAAAATTCACATTTCAAATTTTACATTGCTTTGTGGCATGTGCAAAAAATGCCACAACGAGGCGTTTGCCTCAAGGAGGAATGATACCTCCATACAGCTTACATTCTCAAACACAAGCCTATTCATTTAGGAAACACAAAAAGAATTTGAGAAAAAAAAAAAAAACAAAAAACAAACAAACAAAAAAAAAGACAAAACAATACCTAGATCATATGAAAAACAAAACAAAGCAAAACAAAGCAAAACAAAACAACACACTTAAAGCATATCTCCAGAATACAACAGTATCTCAGACTAGTTTCCTAAAAACAGTAAAAAAAATATTTCAGTATAAAAGGATCCGTACTGTCTAAAAATCCCTTTACCATCTATACGGCAAGAGAGACAGATGGCACAAATTATTCCTTAATAACCTCTTAAGATTTGTATTTCTTGCCTGCTTAAACATACCTCGGCATTTAAATAACAAAAGAACAAACACGAACAAAAACAAAAACACCTTAGCACATCCTTAGCATAACCTGAATAACATCAGAACATATATACATTGTGCTTTATCACAAAAATGTGTTAATCTTCAGAATAAATTATTATCTTAATCTGTTTTTCTAGATTTGACTGTATGGATACTAATGATTTTCAAAAGAATTTGTGAAATGTTAGTTTAAAAAGAAAAAAAAAAAAGTTTCCTAGACAATGTGACCAGCAGAGACAGTAACAAGGTTTCAGCAGAAATGGCATATGTATTTAATTGGTATTGAATGCTATTATCTTCATCACAACCACTTATCAGCAGCATCAAGGTAGAAAATAGTTATGAGATTTAGCAAGTTTAATTTCCTTTAACCTTTTAAGATAGTAATAACATTTTGTAAAAAAGGTTATGCAGCCTATTTATGTAGCAAGTCCATCAGAAGATGAAATTCTAGCAAGTGCAGATTATGCTTTCAGCCCTATAAGGACTTCACCTAAAAGAACCCTAACAGGAAATGAATCTATTTAAGAAGTATTCTTAAACTTAGAAATTCATATATTTGATTTTGGTTTGTTTTGATAAAGGAGATTGGTAACTGCTTTTCAAATTCATTTATCCACTACTTTTTGAAAGAGGACTCCCTACTGCCTTAGGCTTTTGAGAAATGAGTCAGAACCTTTCTCGGTATAACAGAGTTATGATGCTCTAACAGAAAATTCCAGCTATTAGTCAGCAAAATTAGCCAGGAAAGATCCATATGAAACTGAAGAACCTGCAGTGTTGTAAAACAAAAAACTAAACTGAATTTCCTTAATGCTAATATTCACTTGAAGAATATCACTGCTGACAATACAAGAAAGCTTAAGATAAGTCTGACTTTATTAGATTTGTATTTAAATAGAAAATATTTAAAAGTGTATGCATGTAATTGCCCAGTAAGACAATACACAGAAGAGATTTAAAACAGAACTAAGGTTTAGGTTAGGAACATACACAGCCATACATACCTCCAACTAGACCTGGTACAGGGTATGGACAGAATTAGTACTACTACAGATGAAGATAAGCAGGAAGTTAGCTGAAAGGAATCACATCTTTTGCCATGAAGCAGACTGACCTTAAGGTACTCTTACTAGTCCTCCTATCCTAAAGGCAGCTTTTACAAACATTTAAAGGTTACCCCTCATTTCCATAGTGACAAATGGCATGTACATTCTACATAAACAAACTATTCCCCACATCCACATGGGCTCCCCCATGTTGAATTATTTTCAGAAACAAAAGCATTACTTTTGTATTATAGATATTTTTAAATTAATGTTTTGAAGTTTATGAAGATAAACAGAAGGTAATTGTGAGCAATTCACACAATTTTTGAGACCAAACCAGTAGGAAAACAAATTGATCTTTAGTAAGGTACATCTCTATTGCAAAAGCACTACTTAGCTTGGAAAAAATAAATTTACTTAAAACTCTACATCTTAAATTTTCAAGATTATACAGCTGTATGTGTTTGAAGGAGGAAATAAAATGGGTAGTATTCACAGTATTGGAACATACAGAAGCAGACATTGTTTCTTCCCTAAAACAAAGAGATTGCAACTGTCCTCATGATTTAAAACTGCCTTCTGCAAATCCTGCCCTGCGAGCCTATTTGATCAAGAAACTTTTTTTTTTTTTTTTAAAGATTTAATTTTTTCCACACAAAATGGGTTCAAACATTGTTGGCTGAGGATAATGCATTTCTGAATGTCTGAATGTGCTTTACTATGCTTCTTTAGGACCAGATGAACAGCTTAAAAACAGTAAGACAATAGGCTTGTGTTCTGCTTTTGGTAGATCATACACAATCAGAAAATATTTATAAAATGGTGGTAATAAAAATCTCTGAGTC